CTGCTGCTCCTCCCCGCTGCCGCCGCCGTGGTGCTCCTTGTCCTCCCTTCGCTTTTGGGGAGGGGGCTTTGCTGCGGTGGATCTGGCCGCCGACGGCGCAGGGAGGCGGGTGGCGGCAGCGGCAGCGGCGATGTGGGCGGGAGGAGAGGAGGCGTGCAGGAGGGGAGGCGAGGGGAGGGGAGGGGAACGAGAGAGAGGGAGGGGAGGCGCGCGAGAGGGGGAGGGGAGCCGGCTAGGTCATCTCCTCGCGGGCCGGCCCTTTTATACCCCGTGCAAGTGAAATGACGAAAATGCCCCCGGCGGGGCAGGCTATTTACGCGCGGTGGCACAGTCGGGGTGAAACTGTTCATTTCAGCAGTAACTATTTTTTATCCGACAGACGAGGTCACTCCAGGGCTCGATTCGACGGCTCGGATCGCATCAAGCGCGCAGATCCAACGGCCAGGAAGCCCAAATCGCTGAGGAGCCGGAAGGAGAGCTTCTATTCTTATCTCTGGATACAGTCCAGGGGTGCGTTGTAGCAGCGGCGGAGCCAGGATTGGACCAAGCCCCGGGCCCAAAAAAAATCACCGCGAGGGAAAATCTTAACGTCCATAAGGGTTTTAGCTACCTTAAAAGATACCCCATACAAAATATGGCTCGGTTGCATTAAAAATTTATAATTTAAACTCAATGCTTGACAATACAACAAAATAGATAAAAACTTGAAGAACAGTACATGATAAAAAAGAGTACCAAATCAATGGTTTGCGTCATCAATGCCTCGCATAACCTCATCAACAGTGGAAGAAGAGTCAACACCTTCAAGGCATAAAAAGCGAAATATCATAAGAGAAGGCATAAACATCAAGTGGAACAATTACCATTGATACATATTTAAAAACGTACCACTTCGACGAGGTAAGAGCACTTTGCGAGACCTGTATGATTGAAAGCGATACACAATATCATCATCATCAATAGTTGCAAATACATCTCGCTCAATATAGCACACCATCCTATAATTCAGCCAATCATCACTCATCCTATTCGTCAACTCAGTCTTGATAATACTCATTGCTGAGAAAGCTCTTTCCACTGATGCGGTTGCAACAGGCAAAATCAATGCCAACTCAATGAGGCGATATACCAAAGGAAAAACAATGTGTCTATTAGTCTGAACCATCTTCACAACAAGATTACCAAGGTCATTACAACTCAAAAAATCAGGATTAGCTCTCACATCAGCTATGAATGTTCCAAGTTGGTTTCTAAGGACAAAAGAAATCTCATATGTGGAGAAGTCATCAGCATACAACTAAGCAAGTTCAACAAGTTTGTCTTCATCAAAATTAGCAAATGAGTTCCTTGGATCAAGACATGCAATGCATCTTAACAATTGAGTAGATCTCTCAGCAAAGCGGTTATTTAACTCAGTAATAACTTGGTCATGCACAACATTGAACAATTCATATCTGAAGCAATGATAGTAAGTTACCATTTGACCACCACGCCCCCTTGAACGACCTCGAGCAGGAATTGTATCATCCAAGTTAGGCAATATAATGTTATGTTTAACACAAAAGTCATTCGTCTCTTCCAAGAGTTGATCCCAACCATTTTCCCTTATATCTTGAAGTTTCTGCAATGTGACACCAATCAAACTCACTGCAAGAACAATGTTTTGATCTTTCCTTTGCAAACATTGTGACAATTCATTAGTTTTGCCCAATAGATTGATCATAAGATGCAACATGAAAACAAATTCAAAGCTTTCCATCTGAGAAATCAAGCCACTTGTTGTGCTTCTTTGTGTTAAATTTTTTGCATCATCATGAATGTTCTCTAACACTTGCAAAACTGATTTCCACATAGTTAGAAATCAACACAAAGTTTTATGATGTGTGCCCCATCGTGTATCCCGGGTCGAACAAGATTGGTCGCTTGATTTTTCCCTCTTCCTGAAAAAATCTCCCCTGACTCCAATTGGCTTACAATATTTTCATGTTGTTGTTGGGCTAGTTCATCATGTCTCTTACAAGAAGCATTGACGGTGTTGACAATCAAAGTTATGTGGTTAAAGAAATCCGTTACAGAGGAACAACACTTGGCCACAGCAACAACCACTAACTGCAACTGATGGGCAAAGCAATGGATATAAAATGCATAAGGATTTTCATCTTGTATTAAATTTTGCAACCCACGAAATTGTCCTCTCATGTTAGAAGCTCCATCATACCCTTGCCATCTCAATTTAGACATAGACAAGCCATGCTCAAGAAACATACCATCCAAAGCTGCCTTTAGAGAAGCTGCCCTTGTATCAGCAACATGCTTAACATCAATAAATCTCTCAATCGTATACCCATGACTATTAACATACCTACATGAGACAAATAGGCAAACAAACAATTAGGTGTTACTATTAATGATGAACAAAAAAATAACTAATATAAAAAATACAAAGTTACTCACCTTAAAACCATAGCCATTTGTTCTTTTATGGATGCATCTCTGGACTCATCAACAAGTAAAGAGAAATTCCTATCTCCGATATCAGCAATAATGGATTTAGTGGTCTCTTTTGCGCAAGCTTGGCACAATTGAAATTGTATCTCATGTGAAGTCATCAAATGGTTCCCACCCGCACTATCAAGCAAAGTCCTAACAATAAGATCCTTCTTCCTATACCAACTCATCATCTCCAAAAAGTTCCCCCTATTATTTGAACTTGAACTCTCATCATGACCACGAAAAGCATGACCTTGTAATAGAAGAAATCTGATAATACCCAAAATAATGATAAGACGAGCTTTGTAGTCTTCTTCACTCTTTTTGGTACCACGATCCATCACATGTGGCACACATTGCCTTTGATTTTTGAAAGCCTCATAATGTTGTCTAGCTTTATTGTGAGCACTGTTATGTTTACCAACATGTGTATCAAGAACACTAGGTCCATCCTTCCACTTTCTAAATCCT